GGTGGTGATGACGATGATGATGCTGGTGGTGATGATGACAGGATGGTTGGGAACTAATGGCGATGGCGATGTTGATGACGATGATGATGCTGGTGGTGATGATGACGAGGATGATGATGAAGATGAGGATGATGATGATGATGACGATGAGTATGATGACGGCGATGGGAGGAGGGAGGAGGGGGGAGAGGAGGAGGAGGAAAGGAGAGGAGAGGAGAGGAGACGCGGGGCGCTGTCTCTTCAAAACGAGGACCCAACACCACAGGATGGTTGGGAATGAATCGTCGATTCCCAAGAAAATATGGGTAAAGATTGGAATTGGGGGGAAGAAACAGACCCAGAAAATATGGGAAAATATTGGGGATATTGTAACTTGTGTGTATTTATTGAACCGCTTCGCTCATTCCGCCGGACCGTGGGGGCCTCTTGGGGGCCTCTGAGGGCCTCCAAGAGGCCTCTTGGGGGCCCCTTAGAGTATCTTGGGGCCCTCTTGGGGGCGTCTTGGGGGCCTCCCGAAGGCTCTTGGGGGCCTCTTGGGGCCTCTTGGGGGCCTCTCGGGGCTTCCTGGAGGCCTCTCAGGACCGAGGGCTCGAAATGTTGTTTCGTGCTCCCCCTCCGGGGCCGCTCTTGGGGCGCTCTAGGGGCTCTCTTGGGCCGTCTTGGAGGCCTCTTGGGCCGTCTTGGGGCCCTCTTGGGCCGTCTTGGGGCCCTCTTGGGGACCTCTTGGGCCCTCTTGGGGCGATTTTGGGTGCCTCTTGGGCCGTGTTGGGGCGTCGGGAAGCCGAAAAGGTGGAAACGCCAAAATATTTCCAAAACCTAAGGAAAAAGCAATGAGTTTTGCATCTTGGGGCCCTCTTGAGAGTGCTCTTGGAGACCTCTTGGGGCGTCTGGGGGCCATCTTGGGCGTCGTGGAGCGATCTTGTGGCACCTTCGAGCCGTCTTGTATCATCTTGGGGCCTCTTGGAGGCCTCTTGATCCTTCTTGGGTCTCTCTGGAGGGTCTCGAGGGCGGCACCCAGACGCAAAACCATCTCTGATCCGACCTTGCCGGGGTACTTTTCCTCCAGGGACCCCCAGGGGCCGCCCCCCGCGCGCGAAGTAGAACTATTGTACAGCAGTTACCGGAGATCTTAGCACGCCTCTGGCCCGTTGGGCCGGCGAATTTGTGTGTCCCAGGGCCCCTTCAAAGAAGTGGAGCTGCGTTAATCATGCTAGGCACGCAGCCTTCATCAAGTCGAACCACCGCTCGTCGTGACGTCCCCGGCGTCCTTCTCCGAAGCAGAGGCCCCTCGCCGCCGAAGCACACCGTTCGGAGCCGTCTCAAGCTCGCAATGTCGGGCACATCCCCGACGCAATGTCCACTGCCTCTTGGCGGCCGATCTGGCCCCCGTATGGCGTGGTAGTGCCTGAAGATGCCGCGGGCCACCGTCACCGCGACAGGGATCTCCTGCAGGTCCTGTTCGGCCAACGTCCCACGAATGCCGGCAAAAGGGAGACTGTTGGTTGGCAATGTCTCGAACTCGGCCCTGCGCGGCGCCACGCGCCCTGTCGCAGCGTCAATGGTTTCCCCGGGGTGGCTTCCCCGTGTGACCGTCATTTCGTGATCGCCAAACACAGGGAATTCAGGATGCAACGCTTAGAGGGTTTATTTTGGCATCACCACCTGTATCATTTTTATGTATGGTCGAAAACCGGCCTAATCCGTCACAGTCCCGCGTAGTTTTGTTTGATCCCGCTTAATCCCGTCTAGTTTTGGGTTTGATCTGGGTTAGTCCTGCTTAATGGTCCCTCAATCAGGCTTGACAGTCTTCAACCGTTTGTGCGAAGACCTTCCATGAGTTGTCTCCTGGAGAGGGCAGGAGAGAAAGAGAGAGCGAGAGCGAGTTGGGGCGACAATCTATACACATATATATATATATATATATACATACATACATACATACATACATACATACATGCATGCATACATACATATATACATATATATACACATAAAATATGAATAAGTACCGCCCCCCCCCCTGGCCCCGGGTCCCACACCTCCCCGGAACATCTCGGGAACGCTGCCGGTACGGCTCCCCCGGCCTTTCTGGGGAGCCTCCACAGCGCTCCAGGAGGGCCCAAGACGCCGCCCAGGAGCCCCCAGAATGCGAAAGGATGGCCCAAGACGCTCCCAGACAGCCAAAGTCAGCCTTCCGACGGCTCTCGAGGCTCCCAGGTGGCCTCCAAGAGACCCCAAGAGATGTCCGAGAGGCGTCCCGGGACGGCCCGAAGAGGCCAAAATCTTACATTTTCGTTGTTTTGTTACATGTTTTTGGTTTCTCGCGTTTTCGAGCTTCCAACGCTCCAAGAACGCCGAAGTGCCGCCCAAGACCGCCCCAAGACCACCCAAGAGACCCTCATGACGGCCCCAAGACGGGCCAAGAAGGCTCCAAGATTGCCGAAGAGGCGCCCAGGACAGCCCCAGACCACTCCAGAACAGGCCCAAGATGGGCCCAAGA